AAAAAACGGAAATTTTATCTTACTAATTCACTTTTAAAATTATAGGTTGCATATATCCTATAAACTTCACAAAAATTTTAACTAGGTCAAACAGACTCCGATCAAAAGCACCCCAATTTAAACAATATTTAAATGGTTAGGAGATTCATGTTAAATAAAATAATAAACAAAGCTTTAATTTATAATTAGAATGTATAATAAGATTTGAGATTAGTAAATGAGATTTATTATTTCTTAGTTTTCGTTTAATGGAGTTAATAAAATGATCATATATGGCAGCAGAGCAGTTGAATAAATTTACATTGAATCACATCATAATATTATATTAACTAATAATTATATAATTTTTTCTTTTGAATCCTGAAATCAATAATTATAGAAATTTCATAAGGACTTTAGTATCTAAACTCAGAAAACACTATTGCGTTTTGCTGCTTCTTTACTTATTGTAAATATTTATTATTTGAACTATTTGGAATAACATTATTCATCTGAACCCCAGGTCTAAATGTCTATACCACGGATCTAAAACCCCGGTCTCAACAACAGATCTGAAACCCGGGTCTAATCCACAGGTCTGAAACCCGAATCTAATTCACGGGTCTAAAAACGGGGGCTAAACCAAAGGTCTGAAATCTGAAAATAAACCACGGTGAACCCCGAGTCTCCGGGTACGTGCTCAGAGCAGGCTTGAGCACCAAATAGTAAATTTTACGACCAAGCAAATTAACAACACTAGGCATTTTAGCAAAACTGATAATATTGTTGAATTTTGACATAATATTATTATAAAAAAAGAAAGATTAAATATTAAAATATATATAATCAAACCTTTATTTTTGTCTTGTAATAATAATTGGTGAATAATTAAAATAATTATTGGATGAATTAAATTAATTGTTGGGTGGAAAATTAAATTTATTGTGTGTATTATAAAAATATTGTGTGTGTATATTTATAATTGTTTTTCTTCGTATTTATATATCTTTTTTCTTTTTATTATTCAAATTATAAATTTGAATGGCGAACGAAATTAATAATTTAAACATATCCTAATAATGCAACTAAAATTATAATATAATAATAACTAATTCTAATATTCAAAATATAAAAAAAAATTCATTATTTAAAAAGAATGAATAAACTCCACAATAATTACTAATTATAATATTCAAAAAAAATAAGTAGATAACCATATTTAAAAAATTAATAAAAAAAGGAAAAATTGAATAACTACAACAAATATTATTCTAAATCTGGTTTGTGTTAATATTTAGTGCCTCACTTATTAAATATAATTCCTCATTCAACTTCACCAACTAAAAAATGTAACTAAATTATATGTAAAAAAAATGATATTACATCTTAAGTATAAAGTCAGCCAATGGGACCGTTAAATCTGAAACTTATATAAATAATAAATGCGGATTTATTGCATTTTACTGCTTTAACTCGATTGGTATTATTTTAAAGAAAAATAAATGCAATGATTGGCTAGCAGTTAGAAGGAAAATTATAGAAGCACTGATTATATTGGTACACAAATATATAATGACTGATTATTAACAACTATTTCATGAATTATATTTTCCAGTCAATGAAAAAAAAACACTTATAAACGAAATAAAATGTAATATGTTTAAAAATGGATTTTAAATTGCTGATTAAAAATTTTGAAAAATACATTAATTAATTTTCCCCAATTCATATTAATTTTTTTTTTAAATTTTATGATTACACGCTCTTTATAAATATTAATTGTTCTTTTCTGTTTTTTAATTGATATAGAAAATATAACTAAAATCCCAATATATTCTATATCTATATTTTCAAATATTTGTTTTAAATTTAAATTTAATGCGAAACTTATAAAAGCATTAATTTTAAAAATGAAAATATATGATTTTTTAAATTATTTAATAAAGTAATATTAATACTAAGTATGCTTTTACCTTGAAAATATAAAAGGTCAAACGTCGATCATGTGCATCTCTAGCCTTCACAAACTTTTTTTAGCTAACAATTTGATAATTACCTTATTTTTTCTCTAAATAAAAAAGAAGCTCTTCAAATTTTTCAGGAAGCTCGAGCCCTTTTCCTAGTGGTGACACAACTGACATCGATCCCAGGGAATTATGCCTATTTTTTAATTATATACCTATATATTTATATAACAACTTTATAAATGTAATTAAAAAATAAAATGTACATATAATATTGTTTATGTAGATTTTTATAATTCTTTCACCTTTATAAAAAGACTCTATTTCTATGATAATTTTATAAAAATAGAAAATCAAAGAGGAGGTATTATCAATTTAAAGAAATGAAAGTAAATTCCATCTAGAGAATCAAATTTTGCGATAAAATGATCTCGAAAATTAATTATCATATTTCCACAGACAATATGAGATGGTAAATTATTCTTGTATAATTTTAAAATTATGTGGGTACCTTAAGAATAATGTGAGAATTCTTAACTTAATAAGATTTTTTTTCTCCATTAATAGAAATGTAAACATCCTTTATTTTAAATTTAATTGTACCATATTTAAGAAAAAGAATTATATAATATACAATTTATAATAAAAATGTGATTTTTTAAACAATAAAATTATCGAAGTCGAATCGTATCATATCATACACTGGGGAGACATCCCACAATTAAGTGAACACTCCACCACCCTATAAAGAGTGTCTTTAGTGGAGAGAATTTGCATTCACTGATTGGCAGTAAGTTTGCCCTACTGTCAAAACCCGTTTAATTTAAGATGACTTACTGTACCTCTTGTGGATAAACCATCACTAAAAAAACAGTTTACTATGCATATAAAATAATTAGACTTCTCTAGTTTTTTATTGACAATAGTGCTATCGAACACGGGGATTGACAGACAAGAATAATAAATTCACATCATATGGTTTTGGAGAAGGAAGAAAGTTTAAAAATGATTGCCGTGGATTATGGAATGGGATGAGGATATGATTGTATTATTATGATGTTGTTATCGAATTAATTATGATTAATATTTGAACAAGGTTTATTTAATTGCAATAAAGAATTACATGAAGTCCAAGTTAAATACATATATATGCTAAATTAACCACTTTATTTGTTGTGAACTTAAAAACTTACTTTTTAAAGAATAAATTGTAAACAAGCCCCTAGCCTTTTGTTTTGCGGAGCCAAAAGTTTATTTTAGGTGACTAATATTTTTTGTAATAGAACAGATAGACAAAAATATAAATATTTGTTATATTTCAATTCAAAGTTTGTAAATATGTACAAAGACATTCAAAATAATTGTATTATATACAATGATTTTTAAATACTAACTTTATGAATTAAGCCGTTGGGTTATTTTTTATAAGTAATAGCACTAAAAAAATATTTATGGCTTAAATTTTCTCTGTTCATCTTTTATTGATTCTCTGGTAACCGATTAAATGAAACATAGGGAATAAGGAAAGAAGCTGTTATTTTACATAATATTTTAAGAACAATATGATACATTTTTTTATATAATTAATAACTTTTTTAAAATCTTACACATTTCTTTCTGTTGATTCAACCGCTAATAATTCCTATGCAATTTTCCTGTGTTTAGGATCTAAAATCCCACGTAACTTAAAACTGAAGTTATAATTTATGTCAGTTGTCTACTTAAAAAACATTTATTAAATAAAAAAATAATAGAATTTGAGTTTGATTTAAAAAAATTATGCAAATTTGCAAAATCAGTAATCTTTTAAAATACTATTTTAATTTGTTAGTGGATTATAGTAAAGAAAATACAATATTATATAAAATCAGAGTTGTTAAAAGATCGAATCAAAAGATCGACGAACCTGGATTCGATCGCAGATTTGTCAATTTTACGAGATTTATGATTCTGACTTAAATTGAGGATCGAGATCGAGATCATTTTGTTTAAAATTCGATCCCGATCTTTTTAAAAATTAATTTTTTACTTAAAAAGCAATAAATAAAATAAAAATTTTGAAAATTAAATTAAAATATTATTTTTTAAAAAAATATCTATCTTCATATTTTATCAACTTCCATATCAACTTCCATTCCACCATTTATTTTATAGATATATTTGTTCATTTCCTAAATTTTACGAGATTTAGAGTACAAGTTATTTAATATAAATTTATAATAATATATTAATATTTATTTTAATAGGTAAATGTAAATGTCCATTATAGATTTAGAAGATTCTATTGTTGATTCAGGAGAAGTTATTTTCATCCAACTTTGATACATACTATTTTTTTCTTTTATAAAGAAAAAGCACAGTGAATTTAAAAATGAGATTACCAAACACCTCAACGAATTCTCTACACAAAAAAATATATCACTGCAAAACCAAAGTGATTCTGGTTGCAAATCCCGACAATCTAAATTAAATTATAACAATCTAAACATTCCAGCTTTATCGCAAAAAACAGCAGACAAGGTTATCATGGATTTTATTATTGACACCTTCCAACCACTGTCTCTGGTTGATGATCCTTCATTTGAAAAAATGATTAAAACTTTTTCTCCTGCGACAAAAATTATTTGTCTCCAAACACTGGGCAACAGGATATCTACTTCCTTCTCTCAGTGGCGTAGCTACGGTGGTGGTTTTCGGGTTTGGACCCCTCCCAGAGCAAAAATTTATTTTTAGATTATACGTTTAAAAGACTTAAAAGTGACTTTAAATCAAATAAACACCATTAATATTTATATTTTTCTGGTTTTGATGTTTATGGAAGGATATTATATTACTATTGAAATTATTCTGGATAGTATTATTATAAAGTCCTTGAGATTAATCTACTAAATTATTATAACATATTATTGATGCATTTAAAAAATATATATTATCGAAGATATGGTTATGATTTGTAAGATAAACCGGCGGAAGGCCGGGCAAAAGTGCCGAAATCCCGTTAAAAGGGGTCAGGGGGGCGAAGCCCCCAGTATTTTATATGTATGGACCCCCTCTAAGGAAAATTCCTAGCTACGCCACTGCCTTCTCTTATATGACGACAAATGTTATAAGAGATTTGTCTGAAGTTTCTTATGTATGCACCACTGCTGATTGTTGGAGTGGTCATCGAAGGTATATTATATTTATATGAATTTTATAATGTTTATTTTATTAGGGCTTTTATTGGACTTACTATACATTGGCTGGATCCGTTAACCCTCAAGAGAAGGACAGCCGCTTTGGCACTGAGGGGGATAATTGGGAGGCAAACATATGATGTTTTGGCCAACGAAATCATAGGTATCCACAAGTTTTATAAAATTTATAATAAGGTGGTGAAGATGGTGACTGACAATGGAATCAACTTTGTCAAGGCATTTAAGTAATATTTATATTTAGCAAAAAATATTTAAATAAATTTATTATTTCTAGAGTTTTTGGAGAAAATGAAGAAGATAGTAGTGAGGATATGGAATTGATAAATTTGGATGACATATTATCCGTTGATGACCCAATTATTCCTACTATCAGCCTACCAAAACATCAACGTTGTTGTTGCCATAATCTTAACCTTATTGCAACAACAGATGCGGAGATGGCAGATAGTGAATAGTGATCTCAATTATAAACGAATATCTAGATCCACTTTTGCAAAATGTTTTGCTTTAGTTAATAAACAAAATATGTCGTCAAAAATGGCGGATATTTTATTGGAGAAATTAGGAAGATATTTAATAGCTCCCAACAAGACAAGATGGAATTCTTATTACCAATCCATGAAATTAATAGATAAGATGCTTTCTGAAAAGTTTTCAGAAGTAAAACAAGTATGTGATCAAATTGGATTTGCAATGTTTAGGCAAGAGGAATGTTTTTTTGTTAAAGAGTATGCAACAGTAATACAATGTTATTCTCTAAATAAATTTAAATTTTATAGGTTATGGAACCTTTGGCGATCTCGTTAAAAATCTTGGAACGAGAGGATAATAGCAGGGATATATAACTCCTCTATCGATATTGATAGATAAATTAACGAAATTTAGCTGCCTGCGGTATTGTCAGCCCCTTGTAGATAGTGTTCTTAGAGGTATTGATAAAAGGTAATATTTTTTTATACAATTATTTTATATTATCAGATATCTGCAAAATATATTAAAAAATTGCAAAGATCTGGCAAATTTAGTAATATTTTTAACACTAGTAAAATATTAATGGGCCTTTGAAGTCATTAAAAATTTATTAGATTATTTGAATTTTAAGCTAATATTTTGATTAATATTAATTGTAAATAAATTACAATGTTAATTTCTTTTTAAGTATTAAGTTTACATTTAATCAATATTTATGATATGACCCAAATATAAATAAATACCATACAGATGATGTGCCAGACTACTGTAAAATTTAAAGTTAAGTTTTGCAGATACTTGATTTGATTTATATGAATAAAATGAACACTTATTTAATATAAAATTAATTATCATTTTATAATATAGATTTTCTTCACTGTATGAAGACAGTAACATTTTGGTAGACATGATTCACCCTAAATTTAAAGTTAATTGGCCTTATATTAATCTGCCACAAAATATGATGGTAAAAGAAAGATTAGTTGCCCATTTGGAAAATATGCAGGAACAACCATATGCGGATACCTCAAATGAATGTATGGATGACATTGATGCTTTTTTGGGGAAAAATACTGTAAAAAATGCTTGTTCCGTTAAAAATTTTTTTTATTCAAATGATGATTCCATGAATATTTTTAATACTTATATTAATTTAAAAAAAATATTTATTGAATATAATACACCTTTGCCATCAAGCGCTCCTGTGGAGCGCTTGTTTAGTAAAGCTAAACATGTTCTAAATGAAAGAGGCGGATATTTAAATGATGATAATTTAGAAAAAAATATATTATTAAAAGCTAATTTTAATTATAAATAAATATATTATAATTGTTATATTTAATATTCAATTACAATAAAGTTATAACATATATTAGTTAATTTTGCATCGGTGAGAAATTTCCTTCAGAAATTTAAATATTTTTTTTAAAAAGGTCGATCCTGGATTTCGATCCTCTTTTTTTGAAAAGATCGTGATAGGGATTCGATCGTTTTGAAAAGATCGGTTAATAAAATGTATCAATACAAAAGCTTTTAAATTTCATAACTTTTTCTATATTTTCCTACCTGTATGCGTCCCTTATTAAGCCATAATAATTTAATGTATTATGCATAACAAGAATATTATATTAACATTTGATCTATATAAATTACAATTTTGTACTAAAATTAGCGCGCTATGATATCATGCTAATAATATTTTAATATTTTTCTCATTTATACATATATGTTACACGAGGATATAAATTTTATACATTATTTTCAAATTTTTTTACAATGGCAGATGCTGCAGCAAGAGCACTTCAATATGAATATAAAGCCGTAAATATTAATTCTAGATGTTATTTTTATGATTTAATAAATAAAATATTTTAAAAATAATTTGTATACATTATTTTATCTTGAAAAGAACTCGAATTTGGTATTACAAGCCGATAGGTCATTAATTGATAGAAGGCCTAGAGATGAACCAACAGGAGAAGTTTTATCATTAACCGGTAAGTTATATGGTACTAAGATGGGTGATAAGTCTCAGCGATCGAAACCTCCATTAATTCAAGAAAGAAAGGCTAAGTAAATATGGATACATATTTTTATTTTCTTACATTTTAATGAATTGGATACAAATTTTTCCTGTAATGCTATTTAACTAAATACTAGATTGATATAATTATATTTGCATAATCTCATGTAAGTGAATAGTTTTATATTTCATTAATCTTGAAAATTAAAGGAAATATTGCAATAATAATTTAAAACAAGCATAACAATTTTAATATAAATAAAAAGTTTTAATCTCAGAATTAAGACAGGGTCTCTCAAAATTGCTCAGAGCCAATGAAGCAGAGACCTGAGGCTATTAAAAATATTTTTACTTTATTACTAAAATTTAGCAAAAAAAATAAGAATGACTAAGAAACATAAATTTGACAGATCAACTAATTTTATAAATGGTTATTGAGAAAAATAGATATAGGATTAATTTTATAAAAATTAGCTGGTCTAATATTTGCTTAAAAGATAAATATTTTTGCTAAATACCTATATAATTATTGATTATGTCTCATTTACTTCTTTTTTTTGAAAGCTATTGTTTATAATATTTTGTTTGAGTATATGTAAGCTGTTAGGAAGAAAGTATAGGAATGATTAAATAGCATAACTTGTAATTCTCTTATTTGAAAATGTAAAAAAGAATAACTGAAATATTTGTTTGTGTATTTTTCATTACAAAACAAAAATATTTTTTTAAAAATATAAATAATTTTTATCATAAATATGTATTTTTAAAAAATTATTTAAAAAATTAAAAATGTTTTTTTCTTTTCTTTTTTTCTAAAAATGTTTAAAATGGAATTCCTGACTTGTTAAGGGAAGATGCAGAATTCAATAGAAAGAAAGAATAGGATTTTTTATTTTTAAATCTTTTTCAGAATTTATGTATTTCTATATTTAGTTAATGAAAAGGTTAATTTTAGGCGGGACTATGATAGTATTGTGAAAAAAGATTTATTTTGATTTGTTAAAATAACAAATTATTTTTTGCACTTTGACTTTCACCCTTTATTATTATTATTACATACACAATATGTTAATTTAAAAAATACAACTAGTAAAAAAAATGATTTTTGATATTTACACTGATAGAGCAGAAAGTGTTGAAATTGAAGTATTCCCGATATATTCATAATCCATTATTTGAAATCAGTATAAATATCCAATAATCAAATATTCTATTCCCATTAAGCCCTTATTTTTGTTTTTAAATTGTATTAAGAGAAAAAGGAAAAAAAAGATATTCATTTGAAAATTAGTCATTTTATCAAATGCCTTAAATGATAATATTTATTGTTAATTCTATTAAATTGAAAAATAAAATTTTAATAAAATTAGTTCCACTCATACTTTATACTAGCTTTATATTAGCCTACTGCAGTGAAATTAATAAATAAAATTATTCTCACATTTTTAAATTTTCATTTATTCATATTTTTAATTGCATAACAAAAAAACAAAGAGCTTTTAAAGGTATTTAATCCATTAACTTTTTTAAGGTAACAATGGTACCTTAACATAATATTTTTTTAAGCAACATGCCCAACCCTGGGTGTTGGGATGTATTTATTTGTAATGTAAAAAAACAAATTTTGCAGGGGAGGGGTTCCTCGTTTTCCTCTTCTTACCCTGTCAATGACATACTATTTATTATATGCTAGACGCCTGAAAAGAGATGAAGCCCAGAGAGATACCCTCAAAATGAAAGGAACCACCCTCTTATCCGAAGGAATTGAAAATATGATAGGAATTTACTACAAACCAAAAACAGCTGAGACTAGGCAAACTTATGAGATTCTATTGAGCTTTATCCAAGCTGCCATAGGAGATCAGGTTTAAAATTTTGGAGTTATGTTAGTTTAAAAATAAGACTTGAATATACATATTTTATATTAATTTGTTTATATCACCAAAATTTAAAAAAAAAATAGCCTAGAGATATAGTTTGTGGGGCTGCTGATGAAATTTTACTCACTTTAAAACGTGATGACCTTGTAGGACGTACGGAAAGTGGAAGCGATATGCGCCGTACCGAAATAGAGGACTTACTAGGTTTTTTTTATATAAATTGATTACAAATGTTTATTATAAAAGGTGATAAATGCTTCAAAATAACTTTTGTCTTTAGGCTATAAGCATAAGATAATTGATATTAAGAAATTCAATTAAGGTATTTTTTTTGCTTTTCACTACCTGTTATTATTTATCTCAAAATAATTAGAAAACGTTATATTGAAGAAGTTATGAAGGTTCATAATAGATTTATCTAATAAGGACTGATATTTGTTTAGGATTGGCAGATTTATATTTTACTAGTGCTGCTAAACAGCCTAATTTGGATCGATTTTAAAACGGCCTGTTTAAGATTTATAATATTATGTAAGCCTGGAGATTTTGCACACAGATGACAGATAGGCTTAGACCTCTATTTGCTGAATCTAAAATATTACATAATAATATTTTGGCTGAAATTTTAATTGGGCAACACAATATTTTACCTTGTTTTATCATTGTCTAAGTTTCATTATTTCTTATTAGAAAATATTAGTGCTGTAAACATTTCTAAAAAAATCGAACGCGTTCAACGTTCATTGACAAAAATCGAACGCGTTCACGTCAAGTTCATGTTTATAAAAAAGGAACGCGTTCACGTTCATAAAACCGTTCAAAATTTTATGATAATTTTTTTTTAAATTTAATTTAATATAATGAACTTATATTTTTTAATAAAATATATTTTCGCCATGTTAAAAAATAATATAGTTTTATTTTGATAATATAATTATAAATAAAATAAAATATAATAGCGAATAAAAAGATATTTTTATTTATAAAAAATTTTTCTTATTAAATTTTAATAACACTTGTTTTCAAAATATTTATCTGATAGACAGGAACACTTGGCAGTTAGGTATTAGCCTAAAAACGCGCTCTACAGGGGCAGATGAGGGGATTGCGATACTTAATAAAAAGCTCTTTTAACGTGGAGAATTAATTAAAAACATATTTTTTATTATTTGCAAAAAATTGAGATAAGTTATCCTTTTCCAAACCATTTTCTACTCTACAAAAAAGGATATCTCGAAATTAACAGTTTTCTAGGGTTTTCAAAGCATTTTTTTCAATAACGCTATAAGTTTATTTTTAATAGATTCATTCTGTGATGGCCATTGACTTGAATGCTGGATGTATAATTGCATAAAGAACATATTGATCCTTATATATATGTTCAAATCTTTAAAAAAAATAAAATGTATGTAATTAATTGAGAGTGATAGGTTTAATACCTTTTATTAATCCTATTTAATACGGCATATATCAATGGTTGACCATATTTGAGGCCACTAATTTTTTTTATTTTAAAATAACTATCCTTTTTGTTTTCAGATTTAGCTTAGTTATATCATATAAAATCAAATAATTAATATTAAAATCAAATGTCGTTTTAAATTGGAACCTGAAGATTTTGACAATATAATACTTTTTGGCCACATTTTATACTTGGTAAGCATTGGATTAGTTCCTTTAATATAGGATGTTAATGTAAAACATTTATCAAATTTGGCCATAGTAATGATAATTTATCTGATTTTGGATTTTCAGAATCAGATAATGAGGATTAAATAATAATATCCATGCTTATGCTAATCTATTAAATTGAAATATAAACAATAAAATTCAAACTAATAAACTATAATAATGGTGTGTTAAAAAAAATTGAAATGTGAAAAGGAAATACACAGCCGATTAAAAAATATAAATAATACATTTTTTTTAAAAAATCGGAAATATTAATTTTTTAACATTGAAAATAAATATTAAAAAAAATTTTTTTTTTTAAAATTGATAGAACGCCAAATTCAAACGCGTTCGTCATAAAAAAGGAACGCGTTAAGTCAAAATTAAAAGGAACGCCGTTCATCATTTTTTTCAAAAAAACGAACTTCGTTTACAACACTAGAAAATATATTTAAATTTTATGGACTAATATTTTAGCACTATTTCAAAGATCAGTTGCTGTAGGATTCACTTCATTATCCTAAATTTTTGCTTATGTATTTAACTTATTCTTATAGGAAAATATAATGTGATATAAAGTATTTATATCAATAATTTGTTTTTTAGACACTAAAATTATATGCTGTTAATATAAATTTAATTTTTCAAAAAAAAGATATATTTTCATATGGATTTTATTGAATGAGGGTTCATTTCAATATTTTGAGAATATTAGGGATTGTTAATACGCCCTCTATATATCCATAAATTATAAAAGAAACATATGTTCTCTAGTCACCACTTAAAATCTAGCCCATTAACTAACTTAGTATATATATATATCAAAACCAGATTAACATTTATAATACCTTTGCATGTTTCAGGACCTGTTGCCGATGAAAGATATGCACTTTTAGTAAATCTCGCACGGAAGATCACCGATTTCTCTGCCCCCGAAATACGTCAATCATCGGGTCGTGGATTTGACGAGGCACCAGATAACGGTTCGTTTTCTATTAATTTTATGATCCTTAGAAAGTATAAATTTAGAAAGAAAAGTACAAATAAAGGAAGAAAGAATACAAGTAAAAGTAAAGGATGCCCTAATATATTTATTTTAAAACAACAAATTATTAGACATGGATGAAACATATGGTGTAAATGTGCAATTTGAGGAAAGCGACGAGGAAGGGGGAGGCGGTGGCGGAGCAGACGATATTTACGGAGAGGTTCGTCATTATGGACGCAATGATACACGTCATGATGTCGCCCAAGAATATCGGGATCCACTGTTACACGGTCGTGGCAAGAGAGGGTATTTTTTTAAATAGTTTCTTTTTATATTATAAATTATTTTGCCATAAATTTACTATTGCAAAAATGACATGGGGGAATTATTTATTACATTAAGACATAATAGTTAAAGCTCTAGTCTATTGATGCTATGATATATATTTTTAATTCTTCAGACGAGGTGGAGACGAACGCGGAAGTGATGAGAGTGGAGAAAGTGATGGATCACAAGCAGACATAGATGATGATGATGGACTTGGCATAGGCAACACGGGTGGAGTTGAGGCTGTTAACCCTGAGATATTGGTGACTATTATTTTATTTAAATTGAGTAAATTGAAGATGTTAAGATAATTGGAAGGGGATTGAAAAGAGAGGAATTGTTCAGGGGTTATATTCCTTTAATATTTAATACAGAAAAGGAATTGGAAAGCGATATAAATCGAAGGAAAGAATGGAATTTTAAGAATTTCTATAGATTCCATATTAATCTCACTTTTCTAAATTGTATGATTATTAAATTAAAATTTTCACTTCAGAAAGCCAAAGGTTCTAAAGGTAAAGATAATGGCGATAAACGTGGTGACAATTTAGATTCGGATGCTGAAGATCTTGGCAAAAAGTATGAATATATTTTTAAAATTAGATATTTTGAAGCCGATTTACACTACTCATTTTAACATGAACAAAACCCTTATTTTTTTTTCTGAAAAAAAGGAAATCTGAATCTGGTCCTGACACGATAGAATCAATGTACAATTCCCTTAAGCCTGTGCAGGTGGATGCTTATTGGTTACAAAGAAACCTGGCTAGATATTACAAAGACCCCCTAGAAGCCCAGAGCAAGTCCAACGAAATAATGGACATACTTCAGACTTGCCAGGATGATGAGAGGGATTGTGAGAATAGACTGGTACTTTTGTTGGGGTTCGATCGTTTCGGTTTTATCAAAATACTCAGGCGATGGAGAAAAATGAGTAAAAAAAGGGGGAAAGAAGGGAATGAGAGTTTAGATGGAAAAAAGAGAAAAGAAGGGAGTAAGTGATCGTGTTTAGACCATTCCTCAAACCTAAAAATTTAAACAGAAAAATCAGATAGAGTTTAGACACCAAATGGACTCTAATTATTTTGTCGGCCAAATCTGAACCTGATTCCTTCACTAGAATAAGTTAATAAGTATTTTTCTCTAGTTTAATGGGTTTGGTTTAATGAGTGTACATAAGAGGAATGTATGCTAATAGCGAATGCGAAGTAATAAATTATGATGTTCTATGACAAATAAACCAGTGATTCGGACGACCATTTTAAAAATTGATGAAACTTGGTATGAAGGTTAGATTGTATATTTTATACTAATTCAAATTTTAATGCCCTAATTCAAATATATCCCTAGTTATGGGCCTTCAAAGTTCGACGAGGGCCTTTTCCTCTTTTAATGACTCTCAAAATATTAATAAAAAATTGGTCTTAAGTAATAAAATATATATCATTTTGTAGCTTTTAAAATTCTCCTTAAGAAAATGCAAAAATTATTTAAAAAAAATATTCTCAGTATCGTTGTATTTCTGGTGAAACAAAAGTATATTTTGAAAGTGTCCCATTTAAAATGACGAAGCTCATGAAATATGTTTATTACCAATATATTTACATATTTAAATAAAAATATTAATGGAGAAAATAAGAATTTAAATTTTATTTAATTTTTTTACAATTTTAGGAATAAAAAAATCAATTGTAAAGGGTGCTATCGATTAAAAAATTATAATATATTTTCTTATTGGTGTAATGAAAAGCATTTTTAAAAAATTTCTATGTGTATAAAAATTTTAGTGATAATATATGGTTAAATATCTATTTTTATTTATAAAATACATAATTATTGTCTTAAAAATAGCACCTTCTATATTACTTTTATTTATAACTAAAACTATAAAAAAAAACTCAATCAAATTTAAATTCTTATTTTTCTCCGTGAATATTATTAATTTTTTGAAGGAGAATATTCTTTACATTAGATTAAAAGTTTTTTTGAGTAATTTGATATTCATTTAACCCTTTCGGTCGCGGTAGTGCAAATATAAAACCACCTTTTAACCTTTATATCTTCTAAAGGAGTTGATCATATAAAATGAAACCACCACGAATATATATTAAAAGATATTCTTTTTCATATGTTTGTGGAGGAGTTATTTTTTAATTTTTTTTTCGCGCCTTTATTTCAAAATACGTTTTTTACGGTGATTTTTCTTAAAATTCCAATTTTAATTATAAGTAAGTATATTTATCAAATATTTTTAAATATATATATTCCTCACTATTTTATCTATCTTTCTAATATTTATTTTTGCTCAAATAAATAATATTTATATATTATTTTGATCTTTTTAATGTGGTATATTAAACTAACCACTGCCACTTAACAACAATATTTTTAATATTTATTTTTTTAAATAATTGATAAATTTTGCCAACTCATTTCGCAATAATTTTAGCTTGTTATATATATGGATGATTATCTGGACATTCCATCTGAAGGTTCTTCGTTAGACAACTCATCCACTGATTCCGAAGATGATTATGAATCAGATACACGTTACCAAATTGATAGTGATGATTATGAATCGGATACACCCTATCAAATTGAAATTGATCGATTTAAAAAAGAAAGGTATATATGCTACCGGAACACTAAACAAAAATAGGAGATACTTGCCCATAAAGAATATGGAAACAAAATTAAAAAGAGGTGAGTTTGACTGGAGAAGTGACAAAAATAATATAAGTATAATTAAATGGCGAGATAATCGTGACGTATTTATAATGTCCAATTATATTGATCCGAGATCAGTGGATACTGTGAAGAGAAAAAATAAAAAAGGGAAAGTATTTGACGTAAAATGTCCAATAATGATAAAGATGTATAATAAATATATGGGGTCTGTTGACCATTTCGACCATTTAAAGTCTTTATATGAAATTTCGCGAAAGTGGCGAAAATGGTGGCTACCAATATTCTTTTGGCTGATAGATGCGGCGATTATCAATTCATTCATGATATACAATATTCTTACAGATAATAAACTCTCATCGAAAGAATTCCGAAGACAAATAATTGCTAGCGAATTGGCATACTGTAAAAATGTTAATAGGGATGATAATATTCATAATGATAATAATTATATATCAATGCAAAGAAAAAATAATAAACCTTATATCCTTCCAGAAATTAGACTAAAAAACTCAACTCATCAACCTCAGGCAGGAACCTCATGAAGGTGTACCTTCTGTAGTACAAAGTTAAATCCCAGAAGAACAAGGTGGTCGTGCAAATCATGCAACGTACCACTATGTCTAAATAAAAATAGAAACTGTTTCGAAAGTTTCCATAAGGTGTCAATGATATGAATTTAAAACCACCAGGGAGAGCCGCCATTTTGAATTAAAAAACTTTTTTCGTGTGTTTTATATTATATTATACTAGAATCAATAAAAAAATTACTAAATATCGTGTTGCAACATATTAATTTTATGAGGGAATCTAAAGGGTTAAAGAGGAAAAGGCTCTCATCGAATTTTATAGGTCCATAACTCGAGATATACTTGAGCTAGTTAAAATTTTGATTTGCATAAAATATACAATACCATATTGGCATATTATGCAAAGTCATTTAGAATCTTTAAAAAAAACCCAATATATGAATGGAAAATTAAGGGAGATATGAAAAAGTATATAAAGCAAAAGAAGTGTTTTTTTTCAAAAAAATATGAAGAATAAATCTAGTATGCATTGGAAATAAGAAGGAAATGAGCTAATATTGTAAAGTATATGTTGAGAATTTAATAAGGCAACTTAATCCAACTTATAAAAATTAATTACATTTAATCCTTACACCCATAAGTTTTGTATTGCACATTGCTGGCTCAGGCCCAGAGCGATGCTGAAAGGGAAAGACTCGAAGAAAAAATGAGATCTAATGAAGAGCTCGCCAAAATTCTCAAGCAACTCAGGGAGGTGGAACGAGAGAATATTGTCAAGGTTATCAATTTCTCATTTATTTTTTAAATGTATTTTGTTTAGTATTAAAGAAGATTAATTGTGAAAGAGGTCTTAAATGTTATATTACTGATTTAGTAAATCAACATTATTTCCTTTTACCTTATATTCAACTGCACAAATAATTGGTAGTAAAATAACATTTACATTTTATCAATTTTTTTGTTCATTCTATATTTATTTTTAAAAAGTATAATAAAAATACATGTTAACCACAAAATAATTTATCAGAAAACCTATATTAATTTACCAATAAAAAGGGCTACAATTAAAAGAATGTATAATTAATTAATATTTAATAATCGTGTTCACAAAAAGTAGTCATGATTATATCTAAAAATATCAATTTAATTTTTTTGTAAAATGTAAGGAAATTCTTTGGCTTCGTTGGTAAAAGTCTTAATTCGCTAATTTTATGGCCATAAATATAATTTATTGCTTGATTTTAACTTGAATTATAAGGCCTTAGAGTTTTCAGTTAAACCTCTGAATTTTTGGGAGTCTTTAGCTAAATAGGCAATCCCTGTTTATCGCCTTTTGAACGACATTTAAATAAATTACCTCTATGACAATGATATTCTAAAAAAATGTTTAAAATTTGGTTAGTTAAATTGACAATTAAAATGAGAACTATTCTTTTATATATATTTAATTTGGATTGTAAAAAAATTTGTTATTCGTTCTGAATGTCACATTTTATAAAACATATTTTTATAGGAAGAAAGAATGAGAAGGGTTGCTTATAGACAATCGGAATTGGACAAGGATTTCAAAAATGTCGATGTCACTGAATCTTCTGCTCAGGACAATGTAACAAAAATAGATTAAATTGAAAGAATTTATAAAACGGGAAAGACAGGAAAGGGAAGATGGGAGAATATCTTTTAATCTTTTTTTAAATTTGTGGTGTATAGACTTTAAGGGAACCAATAGAAATAGCAGGGGAACAAGAGATTCAATGAGAAATTTATGGATCAATAAGTGTACATTAATTATTTTTTTTTATAATTATATAAATCGAAATAAGTATAATAAATCTTTTAAACTTTTAACATCAAAAATAACAAGTTTTTATCAAAAATTAAAAAAAATGAAAACTTTTTTCAGTTAATCATCAATCGGAAAATATTGGATTTAGAGGATCTGTCCTTTAACCAGGGGAGCCATTTTATGGCTAATAAAAAATGTCATCTACCTGACGGTTCATACAGGAAACAGAAAAAAAGTAAACCACTTTATTGAAAAAAAATATTACAAAGGAAGTGAGGAAAGAAAAGAAAATGTAAGCAAAAAGGAAGAAATAAGGATTACAGAAAAGAGGAAAAAGAAATAAAAATAATATATTTTATTTCAACACTATGCTTATGTTTTTTGCTTTGAATTCTAAATAAGGTTACGAGGAAGTTCACGTGCCCGCGCTCAAACCCAAACCTTTTGGAGAAAAGGAAGTTTTGGTAATGCATTTCTTTATTTTTTTGTCCAGCATGACTGTTTTATCTCCGTCCCTTATCTCAAAATTATTTTGCGCACCCAAACAACTTTTATTTAAAAAAATTATGATTATTAATTCATTCAAATATAAATTGAGAGCTTTATAATAATTATTATGTATTTTATTGTGCATCTAAGGTACAAGTGGATAAACTTCCCAAGTACGTCCAACCTGCTTTTAAAGGATTTAAATCATTGAATAGGATTCAGAGCAAAGTAGCGGAAACTGTTTTGGAAACTGATCTTAACATCCTCCTATGTGCTCCTACGGTAAATCTTTCATTTTAGGCCTCATTTATAGTAAACGCGTTTAGTTCAAGTGCGGTATTTACCGCTATTGCATAATAATTTTTAAAATATACATGGCAACATACGTTTTTCAAATTTTATCATAGCTTTTTCATCGTTTTGCTACATATTTATAAATATTACCCATTTATTGGCTTGATTTTGTTAAATGAGATAATTTGTTTAATTCTTTTTTTAAAAAATAATTTAACAACAATTCTAAATCACGATTATTTTTTTTGTAGGGTGCTGGTAAAACTAACGTAGCTCTTTTAGCTATGCTTAGGGAAGTTGGCAAACATATCAACCCTGATGGTAGTATCAACGCTGACGAATTCAAAGTTATTTATGTGGCGCCCATGAAATCGCTGGTTCAGGAGATGGTCGGAAATTTTACCAAAGTTTTGCATAACGATTCCTTTTATTCATATTTATGATAATTGGGTCATATCCCCACCACGTGACCTCACCAAAACAATTTTTTAAAATTTCTATTTTCTTTTGCAGAAACGTCAAATTAAAGGTAACATAATTTTGTGCTCTTAAAAGTGGTGCATCAAGACTTTTGAAACCTTAGGATGTACTTGACTTCGTTTGTTATGAATTAATTAATTCATTTTTAAAATTATCTGGCTTTCACTCACGAGATTTTTTATTAAAATTTTTTTTTTATCTTTTATTTAAAATGTAAAGTTTTTTTTCAAAAATGAAATATTCTTATTTTAATCCTGTAAAAAAATGTCTTTTGAATAGCGCCTAGGAGTTTACAATCTAAAAGTTGGCGAATTAACAGGTGACCAGGTGATGACGAGAGAACAGATAAGGTCCACGCAAGTGATAGTTTGCACGCCAGAAAAATGGGACATCGTGACGAGGAAAGGAGGGGATCGGGCCCACGTTTCTTCTGTTAGGCTAATGATTTTTGTAAGTTCATAAATATAACATTTCCATTTTTTTTGCCCTAGAAGAATGGAAAGTTAGTTGAATTGGAAAAGAGAGAATTAAACGATGGAAACAGGAGAAAGTTGAAAAAAAGACTAAATTTAAATCCAATTCTATTTTTGATTACTATTGTAAGTTTTACTTGAAAGCAAGGAAAGTTTTTTATGTCGAGATTCAATGTCTCAACAACCATTATATTTATACCTTTTTAAAAATAAAATTATAATTATATTTGTGTTTATCAATTTACAGGATGAAATTCACATGTTGCACGACGACAGAGGACCTGTTTTAGAAGCACTCATAGCAAGGTTAAAAAAATTGAATAGTTTTTTTCCCCTTTCCATTCTCCTTTACTAGAATTCTGGGTTTTCTTTTTTCTATTTTCAAAAATATTGAATGTTTTTATTATGATTTAGAATATTTTTTTTAAATATCGAGATTATACATATCTCATGAATAAGAAAAAGAGAAATATAATAACCAAAGATTGACAGAAGAAAGCCAAGACTTGCCAAATATATTTTCAACCCGGTTGGTTAGAATTGGAATATATTGTCTTGGTGTTGTTAAGGAAACAAGTAAAGGAAATTCAAATTTCTAAATCAGTATTTAAGTCATTAATTACTACCCCTCCTCCATCACCCCTCTAATTTTAGTCTAAAAAAAATTTTTTTTTTTCTCTCAAACGCTTTGTATATATTTTTTTGTGACTTTCCTAATTATTAAAAATTCTTATTCTCCCACCCCACCCCCCTTCCTATAATGCAAATTGAATGTTTAGTATATTTGTATTAATGTTAAACTGTTCAATTTTTTAAAAAGGCTAACCAAATATTTTATCTAACTAATATTACACGAGCCTCAAGATTTCCATATTAATGTCCAAACCTTTCTGCCATCTATGAGCAAAATCTCCATACTTGCGTAATATATTTTACCTAAAATATAGGCGTTTTTAAAATTAAACCGTTTAACATTATTTGTTAATATTAGACCATGTTTATATACCTTTATAACTATTTTTCTGAGAGATGCATGGAGGGATGAGGGCATTTTTTATGATAAACGATGCCACGCCCAAATCATGCCCTGCCTATATATATTATATACTAGCCCCAGAAGTGTAGCTTGAATTCGTGGTGATACTTGTAGCTATTTTAGAAGTTGGTAGAAATGTAATTTACAATTACTTACTCCTCTTTCCCCTCACAAAGAGATTTATATTTTTAAATTTTATTTACTATAATTTAATTTATGAAATATGTAAAAAAAATTCAATTGAAAATAAAAAAGGATTAAAGAAAAAAAAATAGCAACACCTTCCTTTTTTATTGTTTTAAGAATTGGTAGATCATTTTTTTGTTTATGAAAGTTAATTATCAGAGTTCGAAATTTTAGGACTGCCCAGATTTGAAAAATATTTCAAGCCTGGCTTGGATTTTAAATAAATAGCATTCTCAAACCTGGCGCGACCTAAGTGTTTTTTGATAATTTAGGCTGTAATTTGCAAGTATGTTTTGACGGGAAATTGAGATTATGAGCGGTAGATGAAGATTAAACCCTTCATTATGCTATTTTTCAACTGATTATTTGATATGATTTAAATCTATTTTATAAATTTCACCCATCCCAATTTTTAGATTTGGACTAGCTCGGTTTTTGAATTTTTAAGGATGGTCTTATAAACTCATACCATTTATAGGCCAAACCTATAGATAAATCATTTTTTTATGTATTGGCCGCTAGCATCCTTAAAAAAGTGTATACATGAGTATTGGTGCATCTCTGATCTTCTCTTTTACTTTAAATTTTTTCTTATAGGCCCTTTGCACCCTTGTTTATTTATATTTATATATATATTTACTGCTTATTTACATATAGAACTATCAGAAATTCGGAATCTTATCAAGAACCTGTCCGGCTGGTTGGATTATCTGCTACATTGCCCAATTACAAGGACGTGGCAGCATTCCTAAGAGTCGACCCAGTTCGTGCTCTCTTTCACTTTGACAACTCATACCGACCTGTCCCACTCGAGCAGACTTACATTGGTGTGAGCGAAAAGAAGAGTGGCCTTAAAAAATTAAAGATTATCGATCAAGTGCTCTACGAAAAGGTTTCAGAGAACGCTGGGGCCAATCAGGTTAATAATTTATGTATAGTGTATAACATGTTTAAGATAAAAATGACTGGCGTGAAACAGATTATCCAAGTCTTTAGGTACTGGCAGATTTTCTTCTGACTAAAGCTTCAAGACTGAATCCGTTGTTTTTGGTTAAAAACTTGGGGCTAAGTCTTTTTGGAATCGGCTCAAATAGATTCATTTGACAAAATTGTTCAAATTAGCCCTAAATAATTAAAACGAAACTACTTTTTTTTAAAAATAAAATGCTTAAAATTATAAATAAATTAGATTTTGATCTTCGTTCATTCTCGCAAAGAAACGGGTAAGTCTGCTCGGTTTTTGAGGGATACATGCCTGGAAAAGGACACGATGGGCAATTTCATGAGGGAAGGCAGCGCTTCCACTGAAATTCTTAGGACAGAAGCTGAACAAGTAATTATTCCTATTTTGTTTACTTTGTCAAAACCCCTTACTATTCCACTTAATAATATCTACATTTTTTTTTTCTCTTCAGAAATTATTATAGGGAGTAAGGTAATATGGCCCTTTCTTTTTATAGTGTTTTAAACCAACTACTAGGAATGTACCGATTTTTTTTTATCAGATGGGGAAGATTTTTCGTCCTTTTTAAAATATCGGTTATCAGCCAATATGATTTGATTTATTGATTGGATCCTATAAATTGGCTTAATTTATATTTATTAATATTTAAGAAAATGTATTTATTTACAAATTAAGAACATTCTTATTTAATTGATGTGATAATTTTTGTTAACTAACTGAATAATTTGTAAATATAAAACTTAATAAATAATTTAAAAAAAAATTGAACAATTTATATTGATCCTAAATAGACTAGATAGGATTCTAATTTTTACACGATTTTACTGTATAAATAATCATTTATCAATGTTTAGTTTACACACTTTTACATTGATAAATATAACTGAATAAATAAGCCTAAATGATAATTTAATTAAAATTTAAAAATTAATATGTATAACTAACAAAATTAGATTAGGGATATCATACGGTAATAGGCCGATATCGGATTGGCCTTTAAAAAGTGGTATCTGTATCCTTACCTTACTACCCCTTAAATCCGTTTCCACAATACCCCAATTTGGTAAAGCCGAGTAGCAAGATACATTAATGATAACATTTCTTTAAATCTATTTTATTTGGCCTTTTAAAAATAATTTTCTTTTGATACCCACTGATCTTTCTAATTTTTATATTATTATTATTTAGGTAAGGAATCTAGAACTCAAGGACCTGCTACCTTATGGGTTCGCTATACATCATGCTGGCATGACTCGGTATTTATTTGTTTAAAAAAATATGTAATATTTGGACAGTAGAGGAATAATACTAATATTTTCAGGAATTGGAACCATGAAAAATTATAGCTCAAGTTGAATTTTTTAAAAAATGAATAAAATTTGAAGGAAGAGAATGAGAGGAACAAAGAAAGACTGAAACAAAAGATAAAATAATTTTAGTTTAAAAAAACATAGCTATTTATATAAAAACCTTATCGTCATCCTTAAAGCCACCAAACTATTTATTTAATGACCAAATCAAAATAAATTTTTTTTAAAAATCTATTTCCAAAGCGTTGACCGTACTTTAGTTGAGGATTTATTTGCCGATGGTCACGTGAGACTTTTAGTGAGCACGTCTACACTAGCTTGGGGCGTCAATCTTCCCGCCCATACTGTCATCATCAAAGGGACCCAAATTTACGATCCAGAAAAGGGGAGATGGGTCGAGCTCCCAGCACTGGATGTCTTGCAGGTACTTAATATTTTCTATAGAAATTTCTATTTTTATTTCTCCATTTTCTTTACATTTTTTTCTCACTGTCCTTCCTGCCTATGCCGTCATTACGAAATTAAGTAAAATAATCGGTTTAAATAAATAAGAAGGGAACATTTTCACAAGGTGATATACCCAAAACTCTTATTTTATTCTCTAATTTCCTACTTAATCCTTGTTCTCGTTTTTTCGCGAGTTAATAACTATCAAATTTGGGGGAGAAAATATATAATATATTTTATTATATTATTTAGATGTTTGGTAGGGCTGGTAGACCTCAATATGATACAAAGGGCGTGGGTATACTTATAACAAGCCATACCGAATTACAATATTACTTGTCATTGTTGAATCAACAAGTAAATTAAATAAACTAAACTATATCTTATTTATTCCTAATCTTTACTGGAGATAGAAACCCTAAAATTCTGCTTGTGCAGCACATACTAACATAGCATCCCCCACCCACCTTCAACTCATACAATCAATAAATTAATTAAATATAAATATTTAAGCTTCCAATTGAATCACAAATGATTGCCAAACTCCCGGAAGCCTTGAATGCCGAGATAGTGTTAGGCACCGTAAGAGACGCCGTGGAAGCTAGGGACTGGCTAGCTTACACTTACCTTTACATTCGAATGCTGAGGAACCCCGCACTTTACGGGATAGATGGGGACTCGTTAAAAACGGATCCATTGTTGGAAACTAGGAGGGCAGACCTAATACACACGGCCGCTGTAAGGTTGGATAAGACTAACCTTATCAAATACGATAAACGAACGGGCTCTTTTCAGGTTATTAAAAAATGTATATAAGAAAATAAAGAAAGGAACTAGGGAAGGAAAGAGAAAAATATTTTATATGGTATATTTACTTTTAAACTACCTAGCTAAAGCAACTTAATTAATTTTACCCCCTTTCCTCTTCCTAGGTAACGGAACTCGGTCGTATAGCCAGTCAATACTATTGCACCAGTGAGTCCATGGCTACATACAACCAACTTCTAAAGCCGACTCTCAGCGACATTGAACTCTTTAGGGTCTTTTCTCTCAGTTCTGAATTCAAAAATATCAGTGTTAGAGATGTAAGTTTATTATTTCTTTTTTAAAATTTATAATCATTTCTTTAACCATTTTTGTTGGTTTGTTTCTTAAAGTGCAAATTTGCCCCGAATATATTTTATAGGCATATCTATTTACGCCTAATATTTTTTTTGTCTAATATTTAAAAAAAAATTAAATTAAATGATTATTTAGAGGTTTTTTAATGATTTCCTGACATCCTGAACTTTATCCTTTTACAACTATTTTAGCTATTATGTTCTATTAAAGTATTACAGTAATTTTAATATTAATTTTCCTTTTTTCTGTAAATGAAGGAAGAAAAATTGGAGCTAACGAAATTGTTGGAGCGCGTTCCCATACCTATAAAAGAAGGCATCGAAGAATCGAGTGCTAAGGTTACCGATTTAATGTTTTTCATTAGTTTAAAAAAACCATAGTTATAGGATATTTTATAATTTAAATATTGTTGTTATATAGAAGAAAATAAAATATCCACAAAAGTCTTTCACTTTATCATACAAATTAAAAAAAAAATTGTTTGTGGTATAGATTAATGTGCTTCTCCAAGCCTATATATCTAGGCTAAGGTTAGAAGGATTTTCTTTGGCCTCAGACACGGTTTACGTTACTCAATCGGCTGGAAGATTGACCCGGGCACTATTTGAAATCGCTCTCTTTAAGGGCTGGGCTCAGCTGGCCGCCAGATGCCTGAATCTTTCCAAAATGGTTACGCACAAGTAAATTAACAATTTATATAATTTTTTTTAGCATTTTCTTTCGCTAAATTATAAGAGTTAAATCTCAAAAGTTAGACATCTTTTTATCACAATCTTTTAAGGTGTTGGTTCCTCCCTGTAAAAAATTCTAAAATGTTTATCAAAATGTTGACCAAAATATAACCATACTTGAGGTGAACCTTATGGAAGATTTACTGCATTATTAAATGAGTAGTCATAAATAGTACAATATCGCTATTTAATTAAAACAAATCTAGACAATGGTCAAGCATGAGTCCCCTCAGACAGCTCTTGTTTAGTGGTGCTGCGGGTTCATCATCTAGCGGAATGAACGAATCGCTCGTGAAAAAGCTTGAGAAGAAGAATTTCCACTGGAGCCGACTTCTCGATTTAGACGCTCGCGAAATAACCGAACTTCTAAGAGTGCCTGCTAAGCTCGGAAAGGTGGTTCACAAGTTCTCCCATTGCGTGCCAAAGTTAGAGTTGGCAACACATATTCAAGTATGTTTCCATTTTTTTCCACCCAAGTTGCTTTCTTTAATTTCCTTCCTTTATCTTGCCCATATATTATTTTATAAAGAATATGCTATAGCTTATTCAAGAAAAAGTTTACAAGGTTACTGTTATTTTTAACAAAATGAATTTGATGCATTCTTTTAATTAAATTACTGTAAATAGCGTTTTTGAAAGGCTCGATTTAGCTGATTTTAAATAAAGATTTTAGTCAAAATAATAATACGCAAGCCTCGAAATTTCGTTAATAGATATTCAAACTTTTCTTCCATCTATGAACAAAATCTCCAGGCTTGCGTTGTATTTTTTGGCGAACATATTTTGGCTAAGTCATTTTTAAAAATCGAACCTTATAACAACACTAACTGTAAGTCCATACAACATATCATCAATTTTAGAGTTGAACGATACTTAATAAAGCTGAAATGCTATATTATAATTTCTTCAAAGCGTTTTCAGTTTATTATAAAAAAAATAAATACCAATAAATTAGTTTCAACAGTCTATTCACTAAATATGAGAAATATAGGCTAAATTTATGCCCATATACCTAAATGTGTTATTCACCATTTATTTTCTTATTATATTTTTTTTTAAATAGCCCATAACAAGATCTACGTTGCGAGTGGAGTTAACTATAACACCCGATTTCATTTGGGACGAAAAGATACATGGAAATTCTGAAGTAAACCCCAGATGAGAAAAAGATTGATATTACGTTAGAGATTGAAATGTCAAATAATTGCAATTATAAACAATTTTCTCATAATTTAAATATTTTTTTTAAAAAATAAAATTTTTAAATTGTCTGCCATTGGTCTAGGACGAATGGCAATAATATTGTCATATAATTTATTTGGTTTTTTTTAAATCAAACAATTTTATTCAAATTTTTTATTAGCAATTTATTTATACATTTTTTTTAGGCTTTTTGGATTTTCGTGGAAGACGTTGACGGTGAACTCATACTCCATTACGAATATTTTTTGTTGAAAAGGTTTCCTTCTTATTTTTTATAAAAAAGAAAAATTTCCCCCTCTTTCCTATGTTAGTGTTCCATATTCTTGCATTCTTAATTTTTTTTAATATCTCTTTTAAAGACGAAAGTGATTCTATAGTCAAATTTCTAATGGAAATTTATAATTATATCATAATTTTGATATTAGATATATATTTAAATGTTGAATCAATCACTGAGGTCGATTAAATTTTAAAAAAAATCTGATTTACGGTAAATGTGCACCAGGCACGTGTAGAGTAAGCCCTGTGAATATTAACTTTTTTATTTTATTTTATATGAAAAATTGTTATAAATTAAGAGTATTTTCAAAAATTCACTTAAAAGGTGTCTTGAAATCTTTGTGGCAACTCTATACATGCTGGAATATATTTCCAGTTAAATCGGATTTCTAAAATTTAAAAATGGCTTTCAGTGAATATGACATAAAATCGAGGGATTCTATATCCAAATGCTGCATATATAGTCCTATATTAGAATGTTTTTTTGTAAATATAGTACTTGATATCATTTAAATATTAGATGGACGTAACTGCCATTTCTATAAAAATTGCGAGATTCAGATAAAAGAGATTTTACTACATATTATTAACAATTATTAAGTTGTTAATAATAGTAAAAAAAAAAATTAAAAAAAAAACCTTGCTATCTTTCTCACAATTATATAATTACTAATTTTTTTCATTGAATAGGAAAAAAACGCAAAATATGGGATACATAGCTTGAATCTATTATTCAAGTGTCATTTTTACTTTATAAATCTTAGAGAGATGATAGATAACTAATCATACCAATCAAATTGGTTTTTAAAATCATATTTTATATGGTATTATCGTATATTTTTTTAAAAAAAGCAAATTTGCCCAAGATGAGCACATGATAACTTTTTTTGTTCCCATATTCGAACCGCTGCCACCTCAATATTTCATTAGGGTCGTATCAGACAAATGGCTAGGTTTTTAAAACAAACAAAAAATTGTAACACATTTAATAATTTAAATGGATTTTGATAGTTCAGGATTCTTCAATATAAGCAAAAGAATGTTTTTATAAGTCAATAGGAAATATCTTAAAACCTAAATTATAAATAATTATATAACGATCGATTTTGAGAATCGATTGGAACATATCTGGTATTTTTTTTATAAAAAACAAGGTATTAAAATGAATTTGAAGAATTTAAATTAAGCGAATTACAAAACATTATTTAATATAAAACTTTTAATGCATCCCATTTTTTCCCTATAAAATAATAATCAAAGCCTCGGAAACCCTTTTACCAGTGAGCTTTCGGCATTTGATTCTGCCAGAAAAATATCCGCCTCCTACTGAATTGCTCGATCTTCAGCCTTTGCCCCTTTCGGCACTCAGAAATCCGAAGTTCGAAATCCTATACAAGGACAAGCTCACCTTTTTCAACCCTATTCAGACTCAAGGTTTTTTTTTGTTTGTTCTTTTACAAAATTTTAAATGACGTAATAGAGGAGAGTAAATGAAGAATCAAGGGAATAGATTGGGAAAGGAAGATAAGGAAAGGTTCTAAAAAGAATGACCTGTACAAAAGCCCTTTGGCATCGGTTATAATAGTCTGTTCACAATAAAAAAATTGCATATTTTGACAGGCCTTGGACTTAACCCATTTTTAAATTAAATTCGGAATATGATTTTAATTGTCTCGGAACCCAGGGGAAAATATTACACGATTTACTATTATAGTACCTGTTTATTTTAAAATTTGATCCAATACGTTATAAAAAATTTTCTTCTAATTAAAAATAAACCAAGTTTTGAATATATTATTTCAATTTTTTTTAACTATTTAACAACCAGATCAAAAGCAATTTTTTGTGTATAATTTCACTTTATTGTAACCAGGGATTATGAGTGAATTGGATTGAAAATTAATTTTACCTAGAGGATTAGACTGTTGATGAGAAAAAAAGAATTATTATTTTTTTTTATATAATAAATTAATTGCCAAATCGGCATTATCAATGCTTAACAGTTTTTAACGCTATCTACAATTCGGACGATAACGTTTTCGTGGGAGCACCCACGGGCAGCGGGAAAACTATTTGCGCGGAATTCGCGCTTTTGCGGATGTTTTCACGTACTCAAGATGGCGCTATGGATACTGTTGGAAAAGCTGTCTACGTTACCCCTTTCGATTGCTTGGCAGAACAGGTTTTTATAATAATTCCTATTTTTATACTTATTAAAAACTATTTTGTACTAATATTGAAATTAACGAATGTCATTATTTTATTTAAAAAAATAATATAAAGATATTAAACATAACATAAATTATGTATCGTTAACAATATCAAAATCTATACCATATGAAATATTTTTATTTACAATATCAACAACTATTACCTACATTAACTAATGTATAAATCAAATATATTTAATAAATTTTGTTGAGTCATCTTCCACTGCATGAATAGAACACTTATCAAATGAACTCCATTCCTATAATAAAATTATATGCTTATTTATACAATAAAAATATATCTAAAGGGTGGAAAATCGCCATAATTATATTTAGGTGAAACGATTACTTAGTTTAATTCCTATATTAATTAAGAAATTGCGTATAAATATTAAAACTTTTAAAGTGTACAAATAAACCATGATTCATATATTTTATTTCTGAATAATTGAAAGATTACATGAATGTTGAATAAAAAATATTATATTTTTTATGTGGTATTGACTGAAATGTTGAAAGCCCGCTCAAGCTCAATTACAATATTTAATTGAAATTTATTTTAAACTTTTAACCAATTCTCACTAAATGTAGATTTACAGTGATTGGAGTCACAAATTCGGCACGATTCTGGACAAGAAAGTGGTTCTTTTGACTGGAGAAACCTCTACCGATTTGAAATTACTTGCAAAAGTATGTTTTTAAGGATATATTTTTTAAAACAAAAACGAATTATATGATTTTTAAAAATTCTAACCCAATTTTACTAACAAGACAATAAAATCTGCTACTTACTAATACTAATAAACGTTATATATTTTTTTAATAATAGGGTCACATAATAATAAGCACTCCAGAACACTGGGACATCTTATCCAGGAGATGGAAACAACGCAAAAACGTGCAAAATGTTCGACTCTTCATAGTCGACGAATTGCATTTAATGGGTGGACCCGATGGAGTAAATACTAACTGAATACCTAAAACATTTACCTTTATACACCGTTCTTCCCTACCTATTTTCTCTTTCAATATATTAACAATACTGATTTTTTATACGCGAATATTATTCAGCCCCACATAGAAGTGGTAGGATCCCGTATGAGATACATATCATCCCAAATTTCCGCGAACCCCCAATCGGACCCAGATTCCGTCGTCCAGGGGAGTGCCACCAAAAACGCTTCATCTATGAGAATCATAGCTCTCGGTTATAGCTTGGCCTGTTCGAGGGATATTGGTCAATGGTTGGGCTGTCAACCTCACACTATATTCAACTTTCACCCCAACACTAGGCCCTTACCACTGGAGACCCATATACAAGTGATTATGATATTAGGCATTTAACCCTTAATACATTTGTTCGAGTTTTTAAAAAAAGAAAAAATTCTACATTTAACAAATGAGATGATAAAATGGAATTGATTAATAAGGATAGAATTTTTATTAAAAAATTTAGTCTTTATAAAAAAAAGTTGCTAAGATTAAGTAAGAAGGTGCCTAGAGAAAAAAATAATGTTAATAAATAAACGAATATAATTAATAAAAAATAAATAAGGGTTTCAATATAACGCACGGGGCTTCTCGGCTCTTGTCCATGTCTAAACCAGTCTACTCGGCAATCCTCAAATACGCTTGCAAAGCTGCCAACGTTAAAGAACTTGCTATCTCTGGCCCTGCACCTTTCAAGAATGTTCTCGTTTTCGTGGCTGATAGGTATGAATATTGAAAGTGGTCTGTAAATGGCAAAATTCTCAGGCCCAGCCTGGCCTGGCGATAATTTTTTATTAAGGTCGCCGGGCTCTGTTTCATTATTTTACTAAAGTTGTCCGACCAGATATTTATGCCTGAACACCATACTTACAATCATTGGGAGTGGTTAAATTAATAAAATAGACTATACTTTATGGATTATCAGTTCTATCAACTATTAGAATTCATCAATATGTCTAATACATTACAAAATATGTCCTATTTCTGCCATTGAAAAATACCTAATAATAATTCATCATTAAAATTATAAGCCAATAAAAATTTTATTTAAACAAAATTAAGCTTTGAAATAATTTATATATTCTCAATCTCTATTAAGTCAGCCTGATATCTCTACTTTCTGTCCGGCCTGGTCTAATTTTTAATAAGACTAGTGTTACAGACCAATATTGTATCCTTTCAATAGGTAATAGTATTGCTTCATTCTTATCATCATTAGTGACCAAGTAGAGATGTGCTTTAATGGAACCCCATCATTATTTCTTTTTTACGAGCATATTTAAAAAAAATAATATATGTAACAAGAAAACAAAGCAAACTTGCTGCCTGCGAAATACTGAGCCTAGCCGCCTCTGAAGACAGAAATTTCTTGGGTCCTAACGTTTCTTTGGCAGAACTAGAGCCTTACCTTGTAAAAATAGAAGATAAGGTTTGATTTTTTTAAATTATTTAATATACCTCTTGTCTCTTTTAGTTATTCCTTTCCTTTGAACAAAATAATTATGTTTTATCTATTAAATAATGAAATAGCTGATAGTCTTCACAATAGTTTTGTATCATATTACTTCTCATTAAATGCTAAACAAAGTTTCACCGTAGCATTTTTATCTAATAATTAGATTAAAATGCTATAATCCACCACGTTTTATTTTATTCACAATAAAATATATTCCAGACACTAAAAGAAACGGTTAGTCATGGGGTAGCTTACGTGCATGAGGGCCTGTCACAAATAGAACAAAAAATCGTTAAACACTTATTCAACGCTGGAGCTATCCAGGTAAAATAAATATTATCTTCTTTATATGTGAATCAAAATTTTTTAAACTTTATAGAATAAAGAAAAAAGTAATAAATGATAATCGGAAATATGATCTCTGTAAAATTTGCCCCTATTTTTTTAAACCCTTCATTAATAGACATAAATTAAAAATTATTTCCGAGATGGTATTAGTATTAGGTGGAGATCCTCAAAATACAGCAAATTCAAATGTAAGGCAACATTAGACATTAAAAGCCTATTATTAACGACATGCATGCTGGTATCCTTCTGATAAAAACAAGCTACATTAAAATCTAATCTATGGTAAACATTAAAAAAAAGAGGGCTTAAAACCATTTGGCGAAGCCTCTCCAATATTTTACTGAATTTTGAATTTGACAAAAATGTTAAGTAAAATACTACAAGAAATCTATTAAAAGGATTTTGAGAAATTCTAAATATAAGGAGCATTATGAAAAAGTTTTTGAATTTGACAAAAATGTTATGTATAAGTGCTATCAGAAGAATCAAACAGAAGGACTTTGAGAAGTTTTAAATCTAAACAACATCCATCAATCCTTGATTATTTAGAAATTTGTAGATAAATTAGAATTATATTTATGATATTCATATTTAGGTGATTAAGTAGAATGCAGACCAGAAAATTATATCCGTTTTCTCCTATCAGAAAATGAATAGGTCTTCTTAGAAAATATAATTATATTTTTATATCTGGCCAATTTTCCCGCATTTTTAATAAATAATAGGTAAAAAAAATGAATAAATAAATGGTATTACTTAATATTATAATAACATGTGTTATATGATGTAACCAAGGTGGGAAGTGGCCCAATTTTTTTTCCTCAGCTTTCTTAAATATCATTTTAAGTAAAAAAAATTCCTAGTACCTCTCCTCCTAAATTAATAAAAAAAAAGAATTAAAATCATGTCCATAATACAAATTTTTAAGATAGAAATGGAAAACCAAAATATTATATTTTTAAAATGTTCAACAAAGGGGATTCTAAAAATGCCCCTAAAATTTGTGGTGAAAAAAACAACAACTTACAAATCGGAGTAGTTTTCGAAGAATAATTTTGTTTAATAACGAAAGGTTAATAGCATACAACTGGACTCAACTCCTCCCTATTTTTTTTAGATATTTGTGAAGGGAAATATAATAGAGCTTAAAGATTTTTTTTTAAAAATAAAATCATCTTAAAATCAAAATGTAAGGTATTGGTATCGAGTCGAACCTTAGCTTGGTCACTCTCCGTGTATGCTTACCTAGTTATCGTCATGGACACCCAATGGTACGACGGGAAGGTGCACGCGTACGCGGATTATCCCGTCACCGACGTGCTCCAGATGATAGGTCGTGCCAATAGAACACGTTATGATAGAGAAAGTTATTTTTTTATCATTCTAATTATTCATTTATTTTTTTTGTCATATTTATCTTTAATTGTTTTACTAGTCAACACTTCTTTTTTATAGGAGTTTTTATTAATTTATTTTACGATATTTTTAATTTATGATTATTAACTTTTACTAAAATCAATTTTATACGTTTTTTTAAAAGGTAAATGCGTTATACTGTGTCAAGGATCTAAGAAAGACTTCTTCAAGAAATTTCTATATGACCCGCTTCCTATCGAAGTTAGTTTTTTTTGCTTGTTTATTTCTTACGTAAAATTATCATAAATGCACCAATTTCTGGGTTTTAACAGAAAAGATGATTGCATTTTTTTGTCTTAACGGTCAGTCTGCGTTATATTATAAGTTGATGATTATACCCAATATGAATAACATAAAAAATTTAATAAATAACCTATTACATTGTATTAATTTTAACAATTTTTTTTGAGTTTTAGAAATGTATAATTCAAAATCATTTTAAGAATAATGTTTTGCATTGTTAGATAATGTAAAGATAGAAAGGCTACTTTAAAAAAAATTAATATATGCACAACTACAGTATTCCAATTCTAAATTAGCAATAATTAATATAAAATTTTTATTTTGTGCTTTTTTTAGAGCCATTTGGATAATTGTCTTCACGACCATTTCAACGCGGAAATTGTTACAAAGACGATCGAAAACAAACAAGATGCTGTCGATTACCTCACTTGGACTTTCCTATATAGGCGCATGGCCCAAAATCCCAATTATTATAATTTACTGGGTTTTTTATCAATTTCATTTTTATGCTACCATTTTTTGATATATTTTTTTTATAATTTTTTTAAATTTTCTATACTCACCTACTTAAAAGGTATAACACATCGACACTTGTCCGACCATTTATCAGAACTTGTCGAAACTACCTTAAATGATTTGGAACAATCCAAAGTATTTCTTTCTATTTATTTGAGGGGAGAGGTGAATGGGCCCAAAGATTTGCATCATTGGCAAAATTCCATAGGCCATTAAGAAATTAGACTAGAGATAGGGATCAACAGATTCATACTCATGGGGTGGGTCGGGTTATTATAATTAGTTTTTTATTTCGGATTGGGTTGGGAAAATGTTTTTCTTCCTACGAGTTCGAAAAAAATTAATCCAATAGTTTGAGATGCCATTTTACATAAATGATTGAAAGGATAAACATTTTTAGTAAGATTTTGTCACAAAGGAATCTGATTTAAGGAGGTTTAAAAAATGTGGAAACTGTATTATATATTCACATCTTTTCATAATATAGTGCATAGCCGTGGAAGAAGAAATGGACGTCTCACCTTTGAATTTGGGCATGATCGCGGCGTATTATTACATAAACTACACTACCATTGGTATTACTTTTTAAACTTTTCTCACTAAACAATAACGAGTTTTTTGGAGATATTTTTCTTTCTTTCTTTCCGAATTGAAGTTAGTTTAAAAGCTATCTTTTGATATTGATTATACATTAAGATTTATGTAAATATTTTAAGCCAAAATTATGGAAAATATATTTTTTTTGAAAAATTGCTTCGTTAAAAAAAGTTGAGAAAGTCTGATCTACCTTATATAATAAAATTTTTAAAAGTGTTTCTTTTTGAAAAATTTAAACTAAGAATTGTTCTCGATGTCTCTTTCCTCTAAGACTAAGCTCAAAGGATTTATAGAGATTATTTCCAATGCATCAGAGTACGAAACTATTCCCATAAGACACCACGAGGATAATATACTCAAACAGGTTTTTATAAATCGAATCTAATATTGATTTTATTTTAATATTTCCTGTTTTTAACAAAATAAATCTTACTACAAGTTTATATGACACCATTTCTTTTTAAATAAAACACCACATATTTGATATTTTGTTTAGAATATACTGAGACCTCTCTTTGTGAGATGAGGGAAAATGTAAAACTAGTAATGGTTTTTCTTTATATATTATTTTAATTTTTTTTAGAGAGGCCTGGTGATCTGATTATCATGAAGAGATAGTCACCTTTAGAAGCTTCATCTTAATCGTATTCACAATTATTTATATATTATACGTTTATTTTTAAATAATAAAATATAAGCTGGCAAACAAGGTTGAGTACAAGCTAACCAACCCTAAATACAGTGACCCTCACGTTAAGGCTAATTTATTGCTTCAGGCTCATCTCTCCAGAATGCAATTATCTTCAGAACTTCAAACCGACACTGAAGATATTCTAGCCAAAGTATATGAGAGAACAAAAATTTATATATTGTCACATATTCAAATAATATGAAAATAAGGCAATGATCGATACCTATTTTTTCTTATTTTATTTTTTTTTACTTCGAGTGTTATTTTTGATTTTTTTAAAGAAAAGTTTAATGTATGCAAAGGACTTGGGTCACATTCTAATATCCTAGCTATGTGGTACAAAATTTTAATTAAAATTATCTATATCGATATTTTTGCGATCCTAATGTGGTACAAAATTTTAATTAAAATCATCTATATCGATATTTTTGCTATCCTATTTATGTTTTTAAGATAATTGGAACCTAGATCACTACTATCTAGGTGACTTGAAAATAGGTTTCCCACTTTATGTTTTGATGTTTACGCATCTATATAAAATTATGTACGAAAGTCTATAAGATTAATCCAAGCTTGCGTTGACGTTTCCAGTAGCAATGGGTGGCTTTGGCCCGCACTATCTGGCATGGAACTCTCTCAAATGACCACTCAGGCCATGTGGAACAAAGATAGCTACCTGAAACAGATTCCTCACTTTGACGCTGCCATAGTGGCTAGATGTTTAGCCCAGGTTTTTTTCTTCTTACTTCAATATAATTATCTTTTATTTATCATTAAAATGGGGAAAATTTAGCTATTATTTGAATTACTTATATATTCACACATTTTATAATTTATGTAAAATCTGGTTTGTTTTAAGTTCTAACGTTTTCTCAATTTTATGTTATAAATCATTTTGTTTGTCTAAATAAGGGTGTGGAAACGGTCTTTGACGTTACAGAGTTAGAGGATGAAAAGCGCAATGAGCTTTTAGGCCTTACAGATTTGCAAATGGTGGACGTAGCTAAATTTTGTAATAGATATCCTAACATCGAACTGCGATTCCAAGTGTGCAGCGCAAGCTCTAGCACTGAAATCGGAAGTTCAACTAGCAGCAACCCTATCTTTTCTCCGTAAGTTTTATGTTAACCAGAAAGATTAGCGAACTAATATAAAAAAAGCATAGTATTTATAAAAACTTAACCTTTTGGTTACAAGGAAATATAAAAATCGTTGGTTTATTTATAAAATTATACATTCATTATTTAATAGTACTTGCGTTCACTGGTTTATATATATTTAATTTTTTAAAGGGGTGAAAGCGTTAATGTTATAGTGACACTTGAAAGAGAGGACGAAATGTTTGGGAACGTATTGGCTCCGTTTTTCCCTCAAGTAAAAATTTTTTATTCACAAAATATTAATTTTCAAATTTTATAATTGTATTTATTTTTCTAGAGTTGACACTTTTTTAAAATATAATGCATGATATTTAAGTAGCAATATATATTGCTATTTATGATTTTTTTTTCAAAACAATTTATTTATAAAATAAATATCCAATAAGAAACGAGAAGAAGGTTGGTGGTTGGTTATAGGAGATCAAAAATCCAACACCTTAATATCTATCAAGAGACTAACCTTGCAACAAAAGGCCAAAATCAAACTCGACTTTTTAGCACCGACCCAGCCCGGGAATCATTCTAATTACACCTTGTTTTTCATGAGCGACGCGTATATGGGATGCGATCAGGAATATAAATTTGACTTAAAAGTCGCCCGGGAAGATTGAAGAGAATTTTTTATCCCTATTCATGGACAAACTATAATTTTTTTTAGTTTATGATGTATTATTATAATTTAGGCGATAACGAGGTTTTTATTCATTTTTTAAAGAAAACGATGTTTTTGTATAGATATTTATGTTATTGGAGTACCATTTATTTTATTAGCTAATAAATATTATGTGATTCAGACACATGTAAATCTCATATTATCAGACCTAACCCTACAAGTCTGTTTTTTTAACTTTTAGTTTGCTCTGATCCATTTTTAATGACTATAACGTGAACTGTTGCATAAAAAATAGATTAAGGCTAAGGAAAGGAAACAGGGCATAGCAGAAGACGATTTAATTTTACTTTGACTCTTAAGGCTGTCATTTTTTCAATTTTATGAATACCCTTTACTTCACGAAGAATAAATTAAACTGACTCTTTCATAGGCAACGCCCCAGCGAGAGAGAATATAAAAATGCATTTTGAAATTTGGGAATTTATTAAAGTATCAAAAAATTTAATCCCTTCTCTACAATAAAGAAAGTCAATTAGAAATTCTACAATTATTTTAAAAAAAAATTATTTAATCATAATATTAAATTTTCAATTTACTCAGGATAAATTTGAAGAGGCCTTGCGATATCTCTATGACGCTTCTTCATATTACGAATGAATTAGCTGCTAGACCTTTTATATTTGGATGATTAATGATTCGTTGTTATCTGATGTTTATTTTGTAGGGTTGATGTTAAAATTTTGGGACATTTCATAGAAGACTCTTTGAAGCATCTCCATCGATTCCTTTTATAGATGATGTATGAATAGTCTTCAAAGAATGAATTCTATCCCTTAATTGATATTATTATAATATCGATTATTTTGCCTTTATGTATCTTATAATGATGAGTCAATAACATTAATTAATAAATTAGCCCTAGATGGATTATTACATTAAAGAATCATGAAATAGCAGGCCAAATTGAATGCCATTTTTATGGTATGTTAAAATTATATTATATCAATTTTTTTGAACTGGATTCACCACTTAATACTTGAAAGTTATATTGGATATTTTCAATGAAAAAAATTGCTTAAAATTTATTTAAACAAAACTAATTAAGATATTTCAAAATATTTAATGTTGTTTTTAAAGCTTTAAGGACACTCCGCTTAATTTTTATTCTTTAGTCCGAATTCTATTCAGAAATGAAGCCTGGACACCATTTTTGGGTTTTCCCCATTATGTATTTTTATATTTAAGGTGATTCTATTTTTAAAATATACCTAAATGTGGACTTATTTCTATTTTTTACATTTCAGAACAGCTATTTAGAATTTTAAAAAGGAACGAGATGGGTAAGGACAAGAGCTTGCACGTTGTAAATATACAAGCTATTATGTAGATAATTTTGAGAAATTTACAAAAAGCCATTATTCTTAGAGCGCTCAATGCTCTATCACTATCAAATTTTATTATTAGTTATAGAGAAACATAAATATTTTAACAAATTTTATTTTTACTTAACAATTTCTATTTTTACGGAGCTCAATGCTCTCTATGACTAGCAAATTTCATTATAAGTTATAAAGAAACATATATATTTTAACAAATTTTATTTTTACTTAATCTCTATTTTTACGGATCGAACTTTCCTTCTTACTTTAATTAAAAAATTAAAATAATGTTCGATTATTTGTTTAAATCCTCATAATCCCATTTTTTACTGCTTGATTAAATAATAATTTTATACTGGATTGTCCCTCTGTGAGCATTCATATTAGAAAAAGGCCCCTGTATCTGAATAGGTTTTTCTCGTCCGAATATTTAATTTTTATTCAGGAAATTTTATTTAAGCATTTTTTTATACGCACCGTTGAAATAATACGATATTTTATCGAAACCCTCCAAAGATGTGTCTTGGTTAGACTTAGTTTTGATACTTTCACAGCTTTTGATTAAGGACTTCTATATTTTGGTTTGTTAAGTGATTGGTGACATTTATTTCGTATTTTTATCTTTCATTTTTTTTAAACTTTTAGACTGTTTAGTCAAGGCTATATAGCCTGCTCTTTGGAAATAAGATAAACCAGGAGATAGCTTGGATAATATTTTGTGGTTTATTCCTAAAATTTAGGAGGAAATGAAAATAAAATTTTATCTAGGCTCGAGTTTAATCCGATCCGATATAAATTTTAAGATCCAAGGTTCGAATCCAATCTAATCCGAAAAAAATGTTTGTTCAAATCCGACTGACCCGAGTTTGATCCGTTCATGGAGGAGGGGGGGGGGTTCTATAAAAATATTAATTATCCATGACATTCATTTTATCCCTGAAAATATCTCACTGTCCAAAATTCCAGATTTGTCTACCTAAGTATATCCATGGGTGATGAAATGGCAAATGGCAAAATTTCCAAAGCTTTCTCTGATAAATATCTATTTCAAAAAAATATTTTAAAAATAATCTTACGTGTTGCATCCTCATTATTTCATTTCTTTAAAAACTTTATTACCTCATACAACTAAAAATAACCTTAGACTGGATATAATATCTAGAGTTCATGTAAAGTGTTTAGGTCACTCACCTGCCTCCATTTTAGAAATTTGGAGATTACGCTTATTGGTTGAAAAAAAATTTTCCTGCCTGTTTAAAAAATTATTTGATTGGTTATTTTTTAAAATTATTTAGGCTTACAAAATGAGGCAAATACAATATTTAAAAAAATAAATATAACCTTACTTATCCAGCCCATATATTATTTTAGGACAGCTTTATAATCCCTTGTTAAAAAGTCTGTCATTTGACTAGTCAAAAAAAACTAAAGGTTTAAGATTTCTTTCTTCGGGTTCTTCTGGTATTGTTCAATCACATAAATACATCAAATGTAAAATATTAATTGACTCCAAAGGAGACATGGTCTAAATTGTATATATGGTTAGGGCAGACATGCAAGGCATGCAGCAATCAATTTAGCTATTAGCCGTTCTCTTACCAGAGCCCGAATACCAAACATCCTGGAGCCTACTAATTTATCATTAGGTGATGGCCTAAGACCAGTTGGCTTAATTTTCATGCCTTGGTCTTTAGGAAAATCCTTAGTTTTGGACTTCACATGCGTATATTCTTTTCCAACAAGTTTAAATTCTAATCCGGTTGATATAGCAGAGAAAAAAAATCAATTAAATATTCCAAATTAACAAATTGTATTTTTATACCAATCGTTATCTCTTCCCTTGGACATATGTCAAGCGGAACTTTAAAATTTTTAAAAAATATAGGCGACAAGATAAGAGCCCTTACTTTAGACCTAAAGAATATTATTTTTTTCTACAAAATCTACAAATTACTATTTTAAAATATAATTATTCATGTTTTTTGGGAACTTGTAGTCCCACCTCCGTTTTTATAGAATAAGGTTTTATTTTATATTTGATGTTATTTTTTATATAATCATATCAGTAAATATTCAAATAAAGTAACCCATGACCGGAAAAAATTATTTTCCATCAAGCTTCATTATTTAGAAGAGTTTGTAAATTTGATTCACAATTTTAATTACTCTCGAAACCTGAAAAACATTCGTTTCATTCCGATTTTAGAATTAGTGGAAAATTAATATTTTTATCCGATTACTTTATAAAAATCGCTCAATAAAAAAATCCCAAGAATTTTTGTGAAATCCAAAATCCCTATATTACAAATTAATAATACTATTTTAGTTACTTTCCACGTTACTACTATACATTACTGCAAATACCCTTAAGTTACATAGTTGAACAATTTTGAATTATTTGGTCATAATGACTCAATAATGAAAAATTGCTCATAATAAATTTTGCCTGACATATTTTTTTTAAAAAATGATAAATATTTATTAATTTTTAAAACATATATTTTTTTGCATCGTATAGAAATATAAAATATAATAATATTTTTTTAAAAAAATAACTAAATTTGTTTAAAAGAAAGCTTTACTACTGGTATATAAATATTTTTTAAAAAAAGACGTAAATATGGAAATTTTTAAAACAAAAAAAAAATTTTGCTATAACAAAAAGGCTTCTGAACTAGTAATTGCGTAAACTTTAGCCAGAGGTAGCTTTATATCCTCTTTAGTGTACATGCGATATAAAATGCATTCCCTCTTAAGGCTTAATGTGTTGAGTAAATCTTTAACACATTTCGCGCGCGCTAGATTATTTTCCTCTCCGGTCTCATTCAACAAGGTATACTCTGAAGTGTTATCATTTTTTAGGTAAGGATCATTTGGTTCACTCTCCAGGACCACCATATCGAATAAAGGCGAAAGATTTGAGCAATTTTCGGTGGCCGGAGATTGATACGCCATAAAATTTGATAGTAAACCAGAAAATAGTTTCGCGAATATTCCATTAGCTACATTCGGGGTATCAGCATATAAGGGACCTATAGTTAAGCCTTCGAATCTAGGCCTTAAGATTCCATAACCTTCGTTTGTTTTTTTTAAATATAAATATTTTTATCGATATTTGACAACGAGTATGTTCCCATATATAATTTAAATTTAATGATTATTATGGTATTTATAAATTGAACTAAAATTAAATCGGTAAACCTATGACTTGACCAATAGAAGTCGAATCAACGTTTTTCTCTAATGCTACGCATGTAATCGTGTCTTTAGTTAATATAGTCTTGTCCAAAAATAGTTTTCTACAACAGCCCTTGTTGATTTCAGTGTCATAATAGATCAATTTGTCCAGGATAGACTGCATTTCAGGCTCAGGTTGTGCCGCATTAATTATTATATATTGGCATTTTGAATCTGATCCATTATTAACTGCATTTATAAAGCAGGTCAAACTTTCCATCGTAAGTCTGCCATAATATCTGGACACTATAAATTAAAATGATTCGTAGTTATTTCTTCCAAATTATTTCGCATTTATCAACTAAATTTCATAGTCTAAACTATGATAGGGAATAAAATTTAAATTTTATAAATGTTCTTACGTCGGAAAGAAACCTTCATTCCCGCTTTTTTGTTAGCTTCGACACGCGTATGCACCGAATCGATACCCATATTTCGATTACCAATGTGAAGTAGACGAGTATTCCAAAGTTTGCCCCCTATACCATGACATCTGTAAGGTTTTTTAACCGCGTATAACCCGCCGAAGGCTAAATCTTCGTTTAGATTCATCCCAAAGATATTACCT